AGAGAATGCTGACTCCTACTCCTGGACAGAATGACAAGTCTCTGTGTTAAATAAGGTGGGGAACAGGAGAAGTCATGGATTTCCAGTGTCACAGCTAAGAGGGGCTCCCACAGGGGTTATCTCTGGCCACTCATGTTGCAGTGGATGTGGGGGCTCAGAGACTGATTTTTTTTTTTTTTTTTTTTTGAGATGGACTCTTGCTCTGTTGCTCAGGCTGAAGTTCAGTGTCGCAATCTCAGCTCACTGCAACCTCTGCTTCTCGGGTTCAAGTGATTCCCCTGCGTCAGCCGCCCAAGTAGCGGGGATTACAGGTGCCTACCACCAAGCCTGGCTAATTTTTGTATTTTTAGTAGAGACAGGGTTTTACCATGTTGGCCAGGCTGGTCTTGAACTCCTGGCCTCAGGTGATCTCCTCACCTCGGGAGAGCTCTCCCAAAGTGCTGGGAGACACACACGATAATTTTATCAGTTAATTGGAATAAATATAATTACTCTCATTTTATAGATAAGAAAATCAAAGCCCATAGAGAATAAACTGTCCAGAAGGCTAGTTGGAAAAAGGCAGAGGCTGACCTTGAACTCAGGTTCCTGACTGCTAATCCCATGCCATTTTTAATTTTAGCACACTGCCTCTAAAACGTCTGTTGGGAAAATTAGACAAAGGTGGGCTATATGAACTGAAAGAGAACAGGGGGAGGGCAGTTAGTGGAGGTTAAAGTTAAAATGTGTCGGGAACTGAATGTCTTTGGCTCTTCTTATATTGAAATCTAATCCCCATTGTGATGGTATTTGGAGGTGGAGCCTCTGGGAGATAATTAGGGCAAGAGGGTGCAGCCCTCTTGAATGGGTTTGATACCTTTACGAGTGGAGAACAGTGCTAGTTTGCTGTCTCTCTGCTATGTGAGGATACAAGGAGAAATTGGGTGTCTGCAGCTTGGAAAAGGGCCCTCACCAGAACCTGGTTTTGGACTTCCAGCCTCCAGAACTGCGAGGAATACATTTCTGTTGTTTATAAGCAACCTAGTCTATGGTGTTTTTTTGAGATGGAGTTTCGCTCTGTCGCCCAGGCTGGAGTGCAATGGTATGATCTCGGCTCACAGCAACATCTGCCTCACAGGTTCAAGCAATTCTCCTGCCTCAGCCTCCTGAGTAGCTGGGACTACAGGTGTGCGCCACCATGCCTGGCTAATTTTTGTATTTTTAGTAGAGATGGGGTTTGACTATGTTGACCAGGCTGGTCTGGAACTCTTGACCTCATGATCCCTCTACCTTGGCCTTCAAAAGTGCTGGGATTACAGGTGTAAGCCACCGTGCCCCACCAGTGTTTATAGTAGTCCAAACTGACTAGGAGCTTAAGGGACAGTACAGAGAAGAACTAGAGAGAATTTGGTCCTGGAAGGGGTGGCACACCCAGCTTCCCCAGGGAGAGGCTCCCTCCAGGGTAGTGATGTTTGCCACATTCCCAGGATTGGCCATAAAGGCTCCCCAGTGAATGTCTATAGTTGTCCCACAGAGGCAGAGGTTGATATTCAAGGCCCGGGTCTGAAGTATGAGAGGGAGAGGCTGAAGGATGAGTGACAGCAGTCCATGCTGGTGCCTGTGTGATAAGCTTAAGAGCTCAGCAAAGGCCATTTCTTCCTCAAAGGTTCAAATGTAGGGAGTGAGGTTTGACTAAAGGTAGTGGTGATTCTAGCCAGAGGGTGGTTAGGGAGGGTTGGGTTAGCTGAAGAAATCTGAGCCCCTAGGATCAGGATGCTGAATTTGGGTTTGAGGCAAAGCACGTATAGTATTGAGCTTACATCCAGAGCTGACCTTGCACTGTAGCAGGTGTGCAGTATCCCTGGACCCTCTGGGTGTGTTGGACAGTAGCAGGTAGGAAGAGAGGGAGGGAAAGCCAGATGGGCCACTGGGGACTTTGGAGGGAAAATCTTCCCATTTACATCCTCAGGTAGGAAAACAGGGAACCATCAAGAGAGACTGTGAGCCCAGAGGGACTGTGTAGACCCCTCATGGCTGTGGCTCTGACCTGGTGGGTGCCAGGATATGGCAGCTCAGGGGCATCTGTGACGAGTGGGGTGGGACTAGGGGTTGATGGCCAGGGTCTCCGAGGAGGACAGTCCTTGGGTCTCTAGAATTGTGCTGAGTTTGAGGAGGTGGGAGTGGGATGCACATGCTTTCCTGTGTGGAAGGAGGGAGGTGTGATGAGGGGCTAGGGTCCTGTCCCAGAAGGACAGGGCTGGGAAGGGGCCCTGGCAGAGTCTCCCCAGAGCTTCTGTCTCTGGAACGGATCTTACCTCGGTCCTGGGCCTGGCACAGCCCCACCTCTGTGATCTCCCGACACCAGGCCTGCAGCTCAGGGTCCCCACTCACCATGTCATCTCTTTGGTAGAAGAGGTGGATGATCCCCTTCACATACCTGCCCGGGGGAGAAGGCGCTTGAGCCTCTGAGAGCAGAAGCCCTGGCCTCTGGCCTCTATTCTTCTTTCTGTGGCATCTGCCCAATGCTTCCATAGTATCTGGGAAGAGGGCTTGCCTTGGGACATCCCTAGCCCTCTAAACACACTAGCATCTCATGGAAGCAGATGTGGGTCCTTAGTTTAGGAATTCACAGGGTTGCTTTCATACATCCTCAGAAAATCCTGATTTTTCCAGACCCCTCCCATTCTCCCCCAACAGTTCCCCTCACCTCCTCTCTCTGCCCCATCCCAGTCTCCTCATTTTCAGAGCCACCCACCATGTCCTCACTGTTCTTCATCTCTCCCCAGGATTGAGTTCTGCGCTTCTCCTGTCTGGACCCTCTAATTTTCTCATTGCTTTTGCCCCATGCTGGCCTCAGGCCAGAGGCCCCCTTCTCCCCGTTACTCAGTTCCTCCTTACTCACCTGGCAATGATCTCCCAGAGCCGTAAAGCATCGTGGGCATAGAGAGCACTTGGGAGTCCCAGTAGGCCCCGGTCAGCCAGGTCGTCAGGAGGACAGAGTGAGCAGTAGGTCAGCTGAGCCGTTGCGCAACGGAGCAACTGCACGTGGCCCCCTCCACCTGTGCTCACTGCCTGGAACAGAAGATGACAGGTCTTAGAGGGGAAACAGGACTGGAGAACCATCATATCTTCCATAAAGCAGGGCAGATGTGGGATTTCCAGATATTAAGACATGGGTTTAAAAGGGATAGGTTCATAGGTTAAGATTGAGTCCATTCCCACTTGGTGGGTCTTGTATCCTGAAAGTATCAGCTCATGGAGAGATGGATGACACAGTCCCATGCCCTGTACCCTTCTCACCTTATCAAATATTCCTCCATCTGAGATGAGTTGGGTCCGGGCCCGGGTGTTGATTTCCATGGTGTAGCGGATGTGGGGGATCAGGAGCTGGGGAGGAGGAGATTGAAGGGCATGGCTAGTGGAGGCCGTGCTTGGGTCCTTCCTGATAGGGCCTGGCACCCAGCATGGCGCTTACTCCTCTTGCTGCTTTCCTTGACAGGCTGGTCTCTTGCTGCATTTATCATTCACTCTTATGCTCTCCAATTTCCCAGCGAGTTGGGCTCTGGATCCAGACTGACCAGAATTTTTTTTTTTTTGAGATGGAGTTTTGCTTTTTTGTTACCCGGGCTGGAGTGCAATGGCGCGATCTCGGCTCACCGCAACCTTCGCCTCCTGGGTTCAGGCAATTCTCCTGGCTCAGCCTCCTGAGTAGCTGGGATTACAGGCACACGCCACCATGCCCAGCTGAATTTTTGTATTTTTAGTAGAGACAGGGTTTCACCATGTTGACCAGGATGGTCTCGATCTCTTGACCTCGTGATCCACCCGCCTCGGCCTCCCAAAGTGCTGGGATTACAGGCGTGAGCCACCGCGCCCGGCCTCAGAATTTTAACCTACACTTTACGCCTCATTTTAATCTGCAATCTCTTCATTTGTCAACAGGGGGCAGTAATAGACTCTCTTATCTCAGGGGCAGTGGTGATGCTCACCTAAGTGATGTATGGAGAGTATTCAGTACACACGAGTCCTGGAATAGTAGCTGTCCTCTTCATTGTTTTCACCTTGAATATAGGTGCCTTATGAATCGGCCCTTTGTGATTTTCTTTGCTCCCTCCTCTGTCATTCACATTCTCTTAAACTAGCCTCTCTACTCATTAGCAAAGCTGCATCTCCATCTTTTAGTTGGTTCACAGCTGGATTTCTTTAGGGGATGGGTGGGGAGAGTACTTTTGGGTCAGAACTAGAAGAGCTCCATTCAGCTACCTGCTTTTTTCTTTTTGAGGCGGAGTCTTGCTCTGTCACCCAGGCTGGAGTACAGTGGGATGATGTCAGCTCACTGCAGCCTCCACCTCCTAGGTTCAAGCAGTTCTCTGCCACAGCCTCCTGAGTAGCTGGGTTTACAGGTGCCCGCCACCAGTCTTAGCTAATTTTTGTATTTTTGGTAGAGATGGGGTTTCACCATCTTGGCCAGGCTGGTCTTGAACTCCTGACCTCGTAATCTACCTGCCTTGGCTTCCCAAAGTGCTAGGATTACAGGTGTAAGCCACCACACTTGGCCTCAGCTTCTTGCTTAAGCAAATCTTTCTCCACCTCTACTTAGGCACTGTTGGGTCCCTCTTCTCCTGCTTTTCCTTAGCTATTAAAAAGAGGCCACCTGATCGTTAACATGCGTTTTTTTTGTTTGTTTGTTTTTTTGTTTTTTTGAGACAATGTCTTGCTTTGTCGCCAGGCCGGAGTGCAGTGGCGCAATCTCGGCTCACTGCAACCTGCGCCTCCTGGTTTCAACTGGTTCTCCTGCCTCAGCCTCCCAAGTAGCTGGGACTATAGGCACGTGCCACCACACCCAGCTCCTTTTTTTTTGTATTTTTAGTAGAGATAGGGTTTTACTGTGTTGGCCAGGATGGTCTCGATCTCTTGACCTTGTGATTTGCCCGCCTCGGCCTCCCAAAGTGCTGGGATTACAGGTGTGAGGCACCGTGCCTGGCTGTATTTCTTTTTTTTTTTTTTTAAATCTTACAATGTTTGTCTTCCTTTCCACATAGTTAATATGCAGGTTTCAAGCAGTTTTGGTGTTTGTCTGAATTGTTGATGCAGGATGCTGGCAATGACCCAAGTGATACCTTTGGTGTTAAGATATCAAAGCAGCTCACATTAATCTGAAGCTTTTCAGAAGATTCATGAAAGATGCCGAATGTCACAAGAAGCCCAAAGTCCACATGAGGAGAGATGCCTAAGGACGAACAGTGCCTAATAGTAATAATTGCAAGAACTATCTGGGTGAGGTGGCATGTGCCTGCAATCTAGGTTACTTGGGAGGCTGAGGCAGGAGGATCATTTGAGCCCAGGAATTTTAGACTAGCTTGGGCAACATAGCAAAACCCTGTCTCTACAAAAAATAAAATTAGCGAGGCATGGTGGTACACACCTGTAGTCCCAGCTACTCTGAAGGCTGAGGTTAGAGGATTGCTTCAGCCCAGGAGTTTGAAGCTGCAGTGAGTTATGATTGCACCACTGACCTCCAGCCTGGGTGACAGAGTGAGAACTTGTCTCTGAAAAAAAAATTGCAAGGCCAGGTGCGGTGGCTCATGCCTGAAATCCCAGCACTTTGGGAGGCCAAGGTGGGCAGATCACCTGAGGTCAGGAGTTCGAGACCAGCCTGACTAACATGGTGAAATCCCATCTGTACTAAAAATACAAAAATTAGCTGGGCGTAGTGGTGAGTGCCTGTACTCCCTACTACTCTGGAGGCTGAGGCAAGAGAATCTCTTGAACCTGGAGGTGGCAGTTGCAGTGAGTCAAGATCACGCCACTGCACTCCAGCCTGGACAACAGAGTGAGACTCCATCTACAAAAAAAACAACAACAAAAAAAGGCAAGAACTAATGTTTTTTGTAGCATTTAGCTTGTGTCACGCTGTTAAGTCCTTTTAACCTTTAACAACCTCATGAAGGAACATGTGAGGACATCTGGAAATTATTGAGGCCAGGATTCAGGACTGAGACCCCAGCAATCCAAAGCAAGAGGCTGCACAGGCCACTGTTAGGACATCTGCAGACTTTACCGTCATGTGCATCCACCAGCAAGTCAGCTGCCTGCCTGAGGATGGCATTACTGTGGTGAGTGCAGACAGCGGGAGGGCTGAACCAGGAAGGGGAACTGGGTGAATAGAGGCTTCAGTTGTTTAAGTGGAGCAGAGGATGGGGACACAGGAGGCAGCTTGAGATGAATTAAATCCAAGATGCCATTAATCGGGCTGGTCTCCATCTTGTCTCTGTTACCAAAGGGGTCACTCCAGAGGTGGCACAGCTATACTGGCCAGGCCTGGGGCATCTGGGTGGAGGCCCCCAACTGAAACACAATTCAGTTGTTTTTACCCAGGACTCACTTGCGTATCTTACCAATACATCAAACTCCATGTACCTAAAACAAAACACCTCATTTTTGCTGACTCTGGCTTGTTCTAACTTTACTGTTTCTGACAATTACTCTGGTTTGTAAGCCTGTATCATGTTTGTGCCCCCTCGGCCAAGTTCCTTATATGTAAAGTATCATCAAGATTTTGAGAACATTTTTTTAAAGCAAACACAGGTCTTATTTTGCCTTCTCCCTGGCAATATATACTGAACTCCCTGTTTAAAAATTACAGTATTTATTAATTTTTTTTTTTTTTAATCTAGAGACTGGGACTTGCTATATTGCCCACTCTGGTCTTGAACTTCTGGTCTTAAGCGATTATACTGCTTTGGCCACCCAAAGCACTGGGATTACAGGCGTGAGCCACCACACCCAGCTCCGAAAACCACAGTATTTTTAGGTTAGTACAGCACACCACCCCGTGGACTTACAGGTGTGGCAGAAGCTTGTACTGATGGCTTTTCTCTGTCTTGCACCCAGGCACGCTGTGGCTACTGTTTCCTCTACTATGTTTTAGGTTTTTTCCTTTTCGTTCCTGTCATTACCATGCTAGCGTACATCTCTATCCACCTTACTGTTGGGCAGGTATGAGTGGCTTGCTGGCTGCTCTTCCTTGCCTTTTGATCTGTTCTTACTTAGCTGACTCCTCAGTTCGGGTAAAACATTCTTCATGAGTACTAGACTGTTCCAGGCTGTCTCATGTGATTTCAAACTCTAGTACCAGATACTGTTCTCTGGTTGGCTCTTACGGGCTAAATACGAGATCTGTTTTTCTGGTTAAATACTAAATCTAAGGTAGGAATGCGGCCTGGGTTTTACTAATAGTGTTCAATCCCTACTGTGAGCACACTGCTAGACTGTCGGATCTCAGAATTTCAGAGGGTTCGTGTAGAATGTTAAGTGACTAAACTTAATTAAACTTAATTAAAATCAACATCTCAAGATATTGATACAGTCTTGTCTTCACTCACAAATTGCTACAAAGGGTTTTTGCTGCGTCAATATCATTTGATATTGGGCGGTTCCTCTCTCTGCGGTCTGAGGGATATGTGATGTAATAGATTAAGTACCTTGAAGATGGGGTGCAGTCCTGGGAGGCACCGCATGGTGGCGACAGCGATGACCTCAGCCACCAGATGAGTGTTCAGCAAGTGATACTGGAGCTGATGCAGTTGGAAATCTGAATTTCGGACCCAGGACTTTGCCAGGAGCCAGGCAAGTGGGGGATCTGAGGGCAGGAACAGTGTTGGGGTTGGGGAGCTGGGGTTGGGAGGCTGAATCTGGGAAAAAGAGAAACAATTGAACTCCCATTCTGTATATGACATTATAGTCAGCATTCTTGGGGAAACATGACTAAGTGAGATTGCCTTCTAGGAGGCTGTATCCTAGTAGGAGGACTGTGACCCCTCCCAGGCTGCCTCTCACTAGCTGTAGTGCCCTGATGTCAGGTGGAGTACAGGCAAGACTGGGAGAAGGGAGTCCAGAAGGAGGCCTTCACAGTGGTGTGGGAGAAATCTGTCGGTTTGGGGTTGGCGCTCAGATAGTGGTGGAATGTGAAGGAGAAGCAGGAGGTGTGAGATTATTGACTGTTCTTGTCAACTGACTGTTAAGAATAGTGAGAGAAGGCGGGGTGTGGTGGCTCACATCTATAAGCCCAGCACTTGGGGAGACCAAGGCGGGCAGATTACTTAGCCCAGAAGTTCAAGACCAGCCTGGGCAATATGGCGAAACCTCGTCTCTACAAAAAATACAAAAATTAGCTGGGCATGGTGGTGCATGCCTGTGGTCCCAGTTACTGGGGGGGGTGTGCCTGAGGTGGAAGAATTGCTTGAACAGGGAGGCACAGGTTGCAGTGACCTGAGATCACGCCACTGTACTACAGCCTGAGTGATAGAGTGAGATTCTGTCTCAAAAAAAAAAAAAAAAATTGAGAGAAAAGATATTCAAGAGATGGTGAGGGTTCAGAGTCAGAGGCCACTGAGAGATTAAATAGTGATTCTCAAAGTCTGGTACTGAACTGGTAGTATCAGCATCACTTTGGAACTTATAAAAATGCAGACTCTCAGTTCCCACCCCAGACATACTGTATCAGAGAGTCTGGTCAAGGGAACCAGAAACCTGCATTTCACCAAGCACTTCAGGTGATTCTGATGCATGCTGAAGTTTGAGGACCACTGGATATGGGATGAGAACTCCATGAGGCCATTTTGACTCTTGAACAAGTACTTCTAGTTGGGTGAGTCAGGGGAGACTAGGGTACAGGCAAATAGTGTGACATGAGGACAGGTCTCACTGAGTGGGGATGGGGTTTAGGAGCCAAGAGCCAGGCGGCTGAGTCCCTGGGAGCAGAGGTTGAGATGAACAGAGCACAGTGTTGTGGGGGAGGCCCAGCACCCTCACCTGGATGACCATGGGCAGCAGCTTCCCACTGGCCTCCATCTTCAGCATGACAAGGGGGGCAGCCAGGTACTGCTTCTCTCCTTGGATCACGTTGGTTGGAATTCCATCCAGTAGGATGAAGTCAGCTTCAAACAGGGAACCATTCTGGGGAAAGGAGGGATGTATCCATTTCTAGAATTCAAAGTCTCCCGCCACAGGGCCAGGGTAAAGGGCAAGACTTTTTTTTTTTTTTTTTTTGAGACTGAGTCTTGCTCTGTTGCCCAGGCTGGAGTGCAGTGGTGCAGTCTCGGCTTACTGCAAACTCTACCTCCCAGGTTCAAGCAGTTCTCTGCTTCAGCCTCCCGAGTAGCTGGGATTACAGGCACCCGCCACCATGTCTGGGTAATTTTTGTATTTTTAGTAGAGACGGGGTTTCACCATCTTAGCCAGGCTGGTCTTGAACTCCTGACCTGGTCATCCACCTGCCTTGGCCTTCCAAAGTGCTAGGATTACAGGCGTGAGCCACTGCACCTGGCCAGGGCAAGACATTTAGTCTAGCTTCTTGCCGTTCTCCTGCATCAGTTCCAGGTCCTGTTGGGAGAACTAGAGCACCTGATCCAGGTTCTCTCATCTTAAAATGAAGGAACAGCCTGGTGAGGGTAGATGCCTTGTGTGTGGATGTGTGGTCGCAGATCTGGGTTTGGAACCAGGCCTGCTCAACCCAGTTGGCATCACAGGCATTGTAAACTGACCCCCTGTCAAAGGCCAGGCCCCTTTCTGGTCATCCCCGAATGGTTTGTGCTCTGGTTTTGGCTGCCGTCAGCTCAGCAAATGCTCTTTCATTCCCTATTCAAATCTCATCTCCTCTGCCAAATATTTCAGAGGGCTTCTCCTAGCTACCTCTGCCACTGCACACGGCACACACATGCACACGCACACATTCTGCCCAGGCTGGTCCTCCTCAGCACAGTGCATTGCTTCCAAACCCCACTTTCATTTTCTAGAAAGCATCCCAAATTCTCCCCACCTGATGGCTCTTTCACCTTTCTCCTTGTCCATGAACACTGGATTCCAGAACACCATGGCCAGGGAATGTCACTGTTCTTGCTAACATCTCCAGCCCCTCTCTGCGTGCTGGGGATTCATTCTGTTTTCCCCTTCATGCTGGGAACTCCTCATAGTTTTTTTCCCCTACATATTTTATTTCTGTATTTTTCCAGCAGAAGACTGCACCAAGGGACAGCGTAGTACTGCAGCCTTCCTTCCTCTGAGTCAGTTTGGTTCTCTCTGTCCGTTCTCACCACACTACTAAGGAGAGAACAGTGCTAGGCAGGAGAAGGGGAGGTACCTGAAGTTCTCTCTCCAACTGAGTCTGAAGCTCTTCCATCCCCGAGGGCAGCACTAGCCTGGAGGGCAGAGAGGTCGAGCGTCTCAACAGCATGGGGTTGGCACCATTGAGGAACTGGTAGCCGAACAGCTCATCATCCTGCCAGCACTGGTGAACCTTCTCTGTGGTGGGTGGTGGAAGGAGGATATATGTACCGCAGCCTGCATATCCTTCTCCTCCAGAGTCTACCCCAGGGATTCAGGCATATGGGCCACCCTGAACCCAGCTTCTGTGTTTTCATTCTCAAGGCCTCTCTGAGTTGACCGGACATGATAAAGTCTCTTCTTGCAAGGAGTTACAGGAGACTGTGGAGAGTGACGGGTCATCCAAAGGACCCTTTAAGGGATTATGGAGGTCTAGGGGAAACACTGACCAGCCAGGGTACTCTTCTGGCCCCAGAAGATCTGATCGAAGTCTTCTAGGCAGTTCCAGGAGCTCAGGAAAGTGTAAACACGTTTGAGGACCATCTCCAGAGCTCTAGGACAGGTATTGAGGTAACTCATCAGCCGATCTCTTGGTCCCTCACCATCTCCCATCATTCATGGACCTCCCAGCCCTTATTCCACCCTGAGGTCCAGCCTTTTTCTCACCCTGCCTTCAGTGTCCATTCAAAGTCCAGCCTCTTCTCCTCATGGAATCTCATATTTGGAGGTAGATCATCCTTAGAGTCTGCAGCTATGGTTAGGGGTAACCCTTCCTTCCAGGTGGCCCAGCTAGGAGTTGGGGACAAAGCTTCAGGAAGGATGTCATGGTCAGTGATGGGGGCAGGGTCAGGGAAGGGGTGGGACAATGGGTAGGGGGAGTTTAAGGGGTGAGTGGTCACCAATAGATCTGCTGTCTGTCTTTCAGTTCCTTCTCTCGATGCTTCTGGAACACGTCCAAGGCATTGTCTCCTGGCAGGCGGGCTGGGGAGACATCAGGACAGTTAGCCACATGGCACTGTCTGGCCCTGTGGGTAGCCGTATTCCATGTTTTCAGCCTTGCATGGTTGCTTTTGTCTCTGGCTTTGCCTCATTTGATTATCCCCCAGACACATTTATCCCATCTTTGCCAACTTTGCGCTCCTGCCTTCTCTTATTTCAGCCCTTATCCTTTGCCTATAGATAAAATCTTCCTGTTTGCCACCTTCACTCATGCTTGCTCCTTCACTCATCTTCCCCAACCTGGCCTGATTTCATCAATATTTATGGTTAGAAAAAAATCACCTTAATTAAGGTGATGAAATCTTAGTCACCTATATGCCTACGCCTACTGTCTACTACAAAATGCTTTGATTAATTTCACATCTTAAACCTCACCTGCCACTCCTTCACTTGTTCTCAAAAGATTCTACGTTTGCCTTTTTTTTTTTTTTTAACCTCACCTTTCTGGATTTACCATCATAGTCTGTATCTATTGACTTCTAGCTCATTTCTGCACTTACACTCACCTGACTCAAAGTCATAGATTTGATGTTTTCATCCCTACCGCCCTCACTTGCCTCTGTATTCATCTCTGTCTCACTCATTACCCATGGTTAAACATTCAGTACTTGCCATCCTCATTCCTCCCGCCTCCTGCCTGCCAGTGGCTTCTTGTGCTTCACCAGTGTCTTCCATGTGACTCCAGCCAAACCAGCTCACCAACATCCTATCATTTGGTTCCCTTAGCTGTCTGCTCTCACAGGTCACTTGCCCCCTACTGTTCCATGTGGTCCCCTCACCTGACTTCTGAGTCACCTAGACATCTCCTTCCTACTTTGCTTTGCTTCTCTGATTTCCTGGATCACTGCAACTCCCACTTTCTGTCTTTGCCTCCTTGGAAGATGGGAACTTATTAGATCACTTATTCCCTGCCACCAGCCTCAGGAGCAGTCTCACGAGCAGCCTCACTTAGCCTGTGTGAAACTTTGGGGATTGATAACTCTTTCCTGTTTCCTGTCTAGCACCCTGGGATCCCTATACTTAGCCTGCCCTGGGCCCCTCCCTACATCCTCTAAGTCCTCTCCGACCGACCGTCCTTAGCTCTGTCCTCCCAGCCCTGCAGCAGTTCCCGGGACCTTGCGCCCCCTTTCCCGACACCGCCCGCTCACCAGTGCCCTCGGGCAGGCTCAGGATGTCCTCGCCTTGCACCCAGCAGTAGCAGGGGAAGGTCGCCTCCGCGCAGGCCCCAGGGCCCTGCACTGTGATTCGGTCACAGAACCAC